GGTTATGATGGCATACCATTATTATGGTTGTTAATTTTTATGATTTTTATTTATTTATTTATTTATTTTATTAGATGACCCGCGGCAACATAGGCCATTGGGTAGGGGTGGAACGGTGAGTTGTTGTATATTGGATAGGTTTGGTACACGTATGTGTGCTGTGGCAGAATTTCTAGTGGGGCACCCGTAGGTTTCTGCCATGCCTCGGTTGGGGGATGGCGGCACTTGTTCTCCGGACACCGTGACTTGCCCGAAGAAAAATGCCCCCCAGTGGCCGAGAATCGAACCTGCGACGGCTGCACCGCAACCGACGCCTTAGACCTCTCGGACACCTAGTCCCCCTTTTTTATTTATTATAAATTATAATACAATCGTTATTATTTTGCAGTCACGATAGAAATATATATTTAGTTTGTATTAGGTATTATAGGTTTACTGCAGATAGGTATTTTAAAATAAAATATTATAGTAAGATTGAGCTTAAAAAGAAATAATTCGCTAAAAAAAAATATTATTTAAATAAATACAATACAAGTCGCCTATATATAGTTAATGAATAAAATTACTAAATAAAATAAAATAAACATAAAATTACTAAAAAGTAAGAACACATAATACCGAAGGAAAAAACTTTGTGGAGGTCTGGACGCCATGCCCTGAATCTGAGCCTGTTTATTTAACTTATATAAAGAGGAAAATGTTGTGTTCAGCCCTCCATTTTTTTTCATTCTTAGATCCAACCATGCAGTAATGCAATACATGGTATATACCTAGTGGTATAATATACCGATAGGTGTTATTTCCTATTGCTCGTTTCCAGCCTATTTCACTTTAAAACTTTTCTACCGTTTTCTTCAACTGCTATATTCCAGCATATTAAACATACGGGTCTTTGGAGGAACCCTAGAGCTAATACAAAGAATTTGAATTTTTTTTTAGATACACATTTGGACGTTACATTACATCAGTTGTAATTTTATGAACAAATAAAGATTATATTTTGTCATAAATATACATGATACCTAAAAAATATTTGAATTTTGGAATCGTCTAGTGTGTATGTATATGCGTGCAATATATTGCAATAGTATAGGCACCGGGTATACATGTATATATATCATAATATAGGTGCGCACTATCGTTATTTGCCATCGTCTAGACTCCCGTGTATAGTGGTTATCTAAATGGAATTTTTTTGTTTCGTCGCCATTAAATCATATACAACTAAAACCCCTAAATGTATAAAAGACCTAATCGATTTCAGTAAAATGCATTAAACATAATATTATATATAGGTACCTATCGTTCGATTGATGTCACAGATCGTAAAATAATTTTATAAAATATTATTATAGCCACGTCTGATGATCGATAATTCAGTTACATCCCCATATAGGCACACTTAATTGCATTTGTGCATTAGTAAGGAATTCATAATAGTAGGTACGTTATAATATTATGTTTCGTACTTTTTTTTTTTTTTGTAATAAGATTACTGTTAATACTGTTCAATTTAATTATACAGGCATTGTACCTATAGTTTGTGTAGCTATACTAAAAATGAAAACATTTACATGCGTTCATATATAGGAGGTAACTTCTATTATACATACCTATTTTATGATTTATGTACCTATTGCCACGGTGGTATACGCTGGTATTTGCATAGCGCGTATAGCAGTGTTGGTAAATTGAAGACATATGTACACGTATTACACGTACACACCTATATATAAGATCAACACAAAATAGTTAGTTAAATTAATCAATTATCTACTCCCGAAAAGAAAAATTTTACTAAAAAATGTTCAATAAATAAATCGAACTGATAAGTCACTGAATCAAGTGTGATATAAATTAACGTAATTCCTCCCTCCCGCTTCCCACCCAAACAACAAAGTTGGAAAACCGTTGTTGTTTTTCCATTAATTAGTGTGAACATGTTTTTAATGAAATTTACATATTATAAGGGATTTTAGCTTAAATCGATATAGGGGTAGTGGGTACCCACGACCCACCTACAAGAGCAAACCCCTTAAAACTTTACTACAATCGATACGACTACAGTGTGATAATATAATATACACTTTACACAGAGGTTGTTTTATCGAGAATACAAATTATGTTTAAAACTGTTAACGGTTTGAAAATGTTTCTTCACATAATTAAGGGACATTACAAAACGACATTTATTTTTAATTATAATTTTTTGTGTTAACATTAATTTTTCATTTCATATTCCAAAACAGAATATACTATTTGGATTATTTTGATACATAAAAATCGAATTTAAAATTAATTAGTTTCAGGTAATAATTATAAGTTTAGAAAGTATTCAAGTTAAGATAAACGGAGTGGATTAGCACTTTTGTAGATACTCCATGAAATATTTGTCTAGAGGTCCAGTTATCTAAACTTTAGTTGCTTAATATAGTAATATAATAGTTCTAACTTATAAGTTATAACTATTGACTAATGAGTAATGACTAAATAAATAAATTTAGCAAGAAAAATATTTTAAGTTACTTTTTAACTAGTTTTAATATTAAAATCATTACCCATTATAGTCAATTTAAAGTTTGAATCGTTACACATCAAAACTATAATTATTACAGCTTGAATCTTCTGAGCATCGAAAATAGTAATTTATTTATTTGAAACACGCAGTTCCCAAGTTGCCGTTACCAACCGATGATTAACATAATATAGGTAATTAGGTTACAATAGTGACCTCATTATACTTTTTTTTTTATCCTGTATACAAAATTTCTACTAGAAGGAGTGCTTTGATTTCGACATATAGTATCTTATCTTTTAGCAAATTGGATCAAGATGGTACTTAAGATAGGTCATCTTTCGATTTTCCCAATAGTTATTTAACGCCACGGGAGAAACCACCGAAAAATTAGAAAAAACCGCTAAAATGGGATTTTAATTTCTAATGCTTTGTTTATTATCAGTTACCACCATAGAAACTAATAAAATAAAAATACTTATACTAGTTATTTTGTTGTAAATTATAATATTGATTCAACTTACAGGCTATAATAAAATAATATAATAACAATATAAAATATCCAGACTGACAAGCCGTCTCCGCTCAGAATCGTTTTTCGCATAGGTACAATGATTTCATAATATCATTGAATTCAAATTTAATATACAATCCATTATACAGTGACCCACTTGTAACCTACTGAACAGCAGAGCGACATCCACTCACCCGCTTTTTTAGATTCTGAGCGTATAGCGATAATAATGTATTAAATTCACAAGACGAATACAGATACGATATACTCAGTGGCGTCATTTTTTTTTGGGGGGGGGGCGGGTCATTTGCCCCAGGCTAGTATTTACATCAACCTTAAGTCGGCACATTTACCAACACCACCCGCCCTTCCTTAACCACTATGGAACTATGCTATGATGAGGATCTGAGTGAAAAAAATGTTGAGTAGGAAAAGCTGAAAGTGAAAAGTTGCCCTAGTCTAATAAAAACTGAAATGACGCCACTGGATATACATAATATGCAGTGTGGATACTCTTCGATTTTTTTTCTCCCCGTTGGTTGGCGTCACATAAAAAAATCGTATGAATTCGATATCTATAATCTATAATATTATTATGTGTCGCGACTCGCGACAGACGGTCCTAATGGGTTTGCCGCCGCAAATTCCTCTGCTGTACAAGATTCCCCGATGAAGATAATAATACTACCCACCACCACCACCACCCGCACATCTTCTATTGTCGTGTCGTACCATCTCTTTCGTAAACTACCCTACCCGGATGTGTATGCGACGGCGGCGGCGGCCATCGACAGCACGTGTATATAAGGGCTACTTCGCCACCCCAAGAGCACCACTGAGTTGCCCGGCTTTCAAGACGACACTACAGCTGTAACAGAAGTATACTCGAGGTAAATATCGTACTTTTTTTATACTGTTAATTTTTTTTCACTGCCATATTGTCGACGTTTTACGTTTTTTTTTCTCAGTAGTAACTTTGTTCTCGTTTATAATATTATAACTACGTATCAGCGATAAATACAATGTACCTAAGCGCTAGGCATATTTTCATAAATTTTCACAACATAAATTAATTATATTTTACTATATACGAATTCTACCTATAATATTATATCATAATTTCAATTCGTCTCAATAAAACAATAATAATATGATAGTTAATTCGACATTTCATTACACTTTCTCGTTTTTCTGAAAAATACTCGACTTTGTAACAGTGGCCACTCCGACTGTCGTTCGTTCTCAGATTCGTTTTATGTGGACCTACAAAAATTAATGAATATAACATTCTTCATTTCATATTATCTTCTCGTAAATTTCTGTAGTTTTAATAGTGTTCTAGCTATTTTATACGAATAAGTATTGCTGTATCATACTCGTTCTACCCGCCCTAAAATATTATTGAATGTATCGATTTGCAATTTAGTATTCTAGTTGATAGTCTGGTCATAGAAATATAGGAGGTATCTATATCTTAAATTCATAACGATTCCGGAATACGACACCGAAAAAACCTTTACAATTATGGAGTTGTACCTACTTATCACAATATTCGTCTCGTCTAGAATAGCCACATCATCTTAAAATTTCATTTTTTTAAAAGGTCAACATAATATTATTAGTCATTATGATGAGTCAAATCTACTATAGAAATATTATATTAATAATAAACCCCAATCAACATTATTTTGAATATTTTTGTTTTTTGACACGTACCACCCTAAAATATTATTGAATGTATCGATTTGCAATTTAGTATTCTAGTTGATAATCTGGTCATAGAAATATAGGAGGTATTTTTTCCGTGGTCATTTTTTCCGCTTACCGTACCGAATAGTTGTGCCATGTTGTAAATACACTCGCATGTTATTTGATTGATCATTGATATCATATATTTATATCACATTGTACTATTATATTTTTTCTTACTTTTCAACAGTAAATCGCCATCAAAAATAATATTCAACGACCATGAAATTCTACGCAGTATTCGGTGTCTTGGCAGCTTTGGCCCTCCACGCTCTTGCAGATGAAGCCAAAGACAGCGTCCCGGCAACAGTATCCGCAGCCATCGACCGAGCTACCGCTGTAACGAAAGCTACAATTTCAAACGAAAATAGTAAGCATAATTTTAGTGATGATTACATTATCGATATCTTTATTTTATAAATCTATATTATAAGCGTTTTAATTTGACGATTTACGCGTTTGATAACACTGCGAACGATATAGAATTGAACGATTCGTCACAAAACGGTTTATAATATAATATAATAGATATATTTTTTTAAATATGTATAGTATGAACAACACTACAGTAGACTCAAAAAACTAACCGATCATCACAATAATAAATTTCGATTAAATAACATTATTAAAAATTAAATAATATCAAGAAAAAGTGGTTTTTCTATTAATATCTATAAAAATTCATCACGTTTGTCCCTTTTTATAAATTAAAATATTTTACAGCATCTATTTTAAAATTATAATACACTTGTAACAATCAAATAAATAAATTTATAAATTAAATTGAATGTTTCTTCAGAATAGTTAAAAATGCACAAAAGTTCAGTTTTAAAAAATATTAATATAGGTATCTATAATATACGTATGTCGTATATCGTATATGGTATTATGGGTACATTTAAATTTATTATGAATCAAAATAATTTTATACAAACAAAAATTACATAATTAACTAATGGTTTTTTTACGCAAAACAAAGTGCATAATATCATACGATTATAATAAATCATAAAAATATTTTGCTCAAGTACGTTACTTAGGTACCAAATATCACTAAACTAAAATTAAACAGCTACAATAGCTATGCCGAATTTATATTACAATATATGCGTGATGACTTTTGCTGAGTAGGTAGATACAAACAATACATTTATTGGTATTTATTTTTTTTAGTAAAAAAAATCTTTTGTGTTTAACTAAAAAATATACCCGAAATCAGATCATAATATATACTTGGGTTGATCTAAAATAATATTATGTAACATATAATCGCCATACCACATTATATTATGTTATTTACGTAGAACATTACCGACTCGGAAACGCGGTATAATAATACGACTATTATATACAAGTATTTAAGACACACCCGGAAACCGTGACTGAGGTGCTTTTTAAGTAACAATTTCTTTCAGATGAAAATTGGTCGTTGATCCCGAACAGCTATGGCGCTGCTCTAGCGACGGGCGGAGTGGTCGTGATCGGAGTCGTCGTCTTGTTGGCCATTTCAGCGATCGTCAGCCCTTTGTTCGGCTACAGACTTTGCCAGATATTCAGCACCTGCGAAGTCCCACCAGCGGCAACCGGGTACAGCGCAGACGCCTACCAATCGTTCCCACCGACTTACAACAAGAGGTGAGCACTTATCATCCGTTTTTGTAATGCTCTATTATTCCCATAGAAGTACAGAGGGACCTATTATACTCATTGTCACGGTATACAATGGTTCTTTATTTCATACTCGACTACACCCTCTGTTCACCACGCGAATTTGATTTAGCAAAATCTCTCAGTTTTTTTTCTTTCAATGCGAGACACTCGGACACCACGACGCGTTGCAATGCAATTATGTATTTTATATTCAATCGAGAAACCCGCTATACCTATATGGCTATATATAGACTAAACTTTACTGCAGTTGTGCAGCCAACCAGCAATTTTCATTAGCTAACTTGCCCACACATTACCTACTCAATGCATTATTATACACATTTTATTTTAAAGTTTATTCTACTTTAAACACGAGTACTCTATTAGTCCCCCAAGACGACTTAAAAGTAAACGGTGCAGACATTTATTATATCGAAAAAAAAAACCATAAAATAAAAATACACAAGAACAAATCAAATTGAAAGTGTCATCAATGCGGGTTGGCTTTTCTCCTCAAATTATGTAATTCGAGTTCTATTTTTTTATTTTTTTATTTATCCACATATACTCATTATGTACATGATACAGATTGTATATTTTATACTAAAAAAATACTATCACTCTTGACCTTTAAAGAAAAGTCCAATGGCGAATTTGACTGAATTGGCAAACTGAAAACCAGATAACACGCGAGCAGTATTTTTTTTTATTTTTTTTCACTACTTGGCTATTAAAAACCTTTTAAATACTTTTTAAAAAGTTCGGACCAGTAGTAAACCGTAATTTAAATTGACAGCAAAGAACTGAAAATTAATTTTGAAAAATTGGCGGACAACTTACGATGGGGTACGAAGAAAACAAACATATACTTACGTGTACTATATATGAGTATTTTATTTTTATTTACAGATCCATCGAGTACGTCAAACCGATCTTGCAAGTTTTGAACTCGGCCTACGAGAAGTACGGACACGGCGCCATTCCAGCGGGTTTGGTCAACACGATGAGGAACGTCAACAACGCACATCAATAACCAAATCAACATCACTCCAGCTAGATATATATTCCGGAAGAATTAAAAATTTTTTAAGTCGACAATAATTATTGTGCACAACAACGGTGTACCGTATATTATAATATTATAATGTTCACATGTAAATCATAATCACTATATCTAGCTGTAAATATTATATTATTATCGCATGCTATTACCGGCGTGTCGTTCACAAACAATAATATAATCATATTTAATATAATAAAAACAATACATATATATAAAAAAATAAAACAAATAGTCAAACAATTATTAAAATACACATATTATATTCCTAAATCTATAGAATCTAAAAAACGATCCTCATTACAAAAAACATGGCGTTCTCGGCATAGGTGCCCAGCCATTTAATAGGTAATATTATTATGACGCGTATGACGCGCAGTCATGCCGTCGAGTACAACAGTAGTTTTGATATACATCAATGTTAAAATGTCGTAAAGCGGCGGTGTTGCGTGCAGCGCACTATAGTCCTTTCGAACGGCCGCTCAAGTGGTGGTGAGCTTAGACCTCCGGGCCAGCAGGATCATCTTCTCCTTTTCCTCTTCCTTCTGGTCGATGCTCATCTGCGACCGGATGCTGTGCGCCAGCGCCGCGTTCTGCACCCGGCTGTTGCTGACCGTCCGGCCCCCGAGCGTCGGAAGCCGTTTGTGCATCTCCTTCTCCACCCACTTGAGCATGGTGAGCACGGCGTCGGGACCGGACAGCCGGAAGTCCGCGGCCGTCTGGACCATCGGCGACGGGTCGACGCGGAACGTGCACGCTATGCCCTGCAGCGACAACATGGCGTCCTCGTTGCCGGCGTACACGACTCGCACCCGCTCGGACCAGTCGACGCCGTACGTGGTACGCAGTATGTAAATGGACGCTCGGCCCTGGTCCCACGTGACGGGTGGCTTGCCCTCGATGGCCAGGAACCCACGGTGAGGCTCGAACCCGGCTGCCTCGAATATCTCGACCGCTCGGCGCTCCAGGTGTTCACGTAGGGCGACCGGCACCTCCCGGTAGTGGTACGTCAGCATCACGCCCTTGTTCTCCACCCAAGCACCGTCACCGCACACCTCGTCCGCGAGCACTTTCTGCAGCTCGGCCACCTTCTGCTCGTACTGCCTGGGCACCGGGTGCACGAAGTTGGTGCCGTCCGGGTGCAGGATCTCGATACCGTGGCTGCCAGCGTACGTCACGTTCTCGATGCCCACCATCGACTTGACGTTGTCCAGCGTCCGGCCGGATATGATGGCGATGTTCACGTCCGGCATTCGGCTGAGCCGCTGCAGCACCTTGACCGTCTCCTCGGACATAACGGCCAGGTCGGGGTGCGACGTGAGGTGCGTGAGCGTGCCGTCGTAGTCCAAGATCAGACTTAGCTTGCCAGCGCCCGCGATGTGGTTGCTCAGGTACATGTCGAAATCGTCCAGCTGCAGTTGCATGCTCTTAGGCGGCAGGGTGCCGCCGCTGGTACCGCCGTTCGCTTCGCCGTCACCGCCGCCGTCGCCGAGCGCGCCCATCGACGAGAAGAACGACGTCATCCAGTAGTTGACGTCCAGCAGCTGTTCGCGGTGCCTGAGCTGTGTCATGCGCAGTTCGCGCTCATCAAGCGGCATCCGCAGGGCTCGATGCAGCACGTTGGCCATCTCGTCCAGCTCGTACGGGTTGACCAGAAGCGCCTCGTGCATGGTTCCACCGGCGCCGGCGAACGGCGACAGGATCAGCACTCCTGGCGTCCTGATCTGGCACGCCACGAACTCCTTGGCCACCAGGTTCATGCCGTCCCTGAGCGGCGTCACCAACGCAACCGCGCAGTCCCGGTACAAGGCGGCCAGCTGCTCCTGGCTCAGGCACCCGTAGATGTACCGGATCGGCGACCAGTTGGGCATCGAAAACCTTCCGTTGATGCGGCCGATCAGCAGCTCGGTCTCGTCCTTGAGTTGCTTGTACTCTTTGACGTCCGTCCTGGACGGCACCGAGATTTGCAGCAGCACCACTTTTTCCCGGTGCTCCGGGTACTTGTCCAGGAATTTCTCGAACGCCAGGATCCGGTGCACCAGACCCTTGGTATAGTCCAGCCTGTCCACGCCCAGTATCACTTTGACATCTTCCGACAGGTTTAGGAACGCCGGCGCCTTCTCCGACAGTTGCACGAAACGGTCAAACGGTATGCCAATCGGTAGCGCCTTCACTTGTATGGTCCGTCCGGCCAGCTCCACCAGCATGTTGGTCCGGTCCACGCGGCACCCAAGCCGCCGACAGCAGCAGTCAATAAAATTCAAGCAGTAGTCCTCGATGTGGAAGGCAGTGAAATCGTAAGCTGTAAGTAGTATGTCATGTATTATAATTATTTATAATTTACAATATTATGTTGTTGGTACGTATTGAGTATGTCAGTACGCCGTTTTATTATAATATTATGTAGGTACATCTATTGTATTATATTTTATTATTATTTATACGTATCTTGATGGTGCGCACTATTAGGGGCAATGCAATTGTTTCGGATACTATAATATTATGATGATATATATCAAATAGATCTACCGAAGGAGAATTCTAAATTTTGTAAAGTTAAATTTAAATTTTTAAAACACGCCGTCAAAAATTTGTGTAGTCTACGTAAAATGTATTATTATTTATTATACATTATAGTTATCGTTAGTTATCACCGTACGCGGAAACCATCGTAATTCCTAAGCCACTTACCTATATAGAACATTATAAAAAAAACCTTGTAGGTACATTCATCCCAAACAAATGTCAAAATATTATTATTTACCTATCTATTTTTATTAGTGCTGTGAGCCTGTTAATTAAATACACTGTATAACTGTTGACTACATTGCACAAATAATATTATTATTAAATTAAAAATTTATAAATATATTACAGATTTATTAATAATACATTAGAAATTGGAAAAATATAATCCGAAAGCCCATAATATGTAAAAACGTACACTTTAAATTTCTATGAATGCATCCGTGCAACATAATTTATTATTTTTAAGTATAATTAAAAAACTTATTTTAATAAATCTTTGTAAAATAACATATTATGTTTTATAAAATTGTATTATTTCAAGTAATGTTCTGGGCTTAAATAAAATACATTAAAAGCATAACCTACATAATAATTGCTTTTCATTGAGAAATAATATTAAAACCACCAAAAAATAATTTGTTTTCAATCAAAACTGACAAATTATGATTTCAATCAACAGAAAAAAAATATATTTATATCACAGTCCACGGTTGCTCGATAGTTGATAATAAAGATTACTCAAAATTGTCGAAAAAATCAATAAATATTATTAAATTATGAAAATGTGATAAATATACAAAAATATGAAGTATAGCGTACGTATACATTTTCGTACAATTGCACTGCAAAAATTATGTCAAACACATTTTAACCGAAAGTAAAATTTTAACTTTATATCACTTACTATAAACTATAAAGTAACGAAAATCCACTTGAATATGTTTAATTCGCAGCCTTAATTAAAACTTTGGTACTTTGTAACTATATTTTATATTATATACGCCCTAAAGTTCTCAACAATTATGTGTCGATACTCAGCTTGATAGGAAGTGGAGCTGCTGAAAATTTCAGTTTTAAAATTGGAAACATAACACCATTGATGGTTATTGGTTATCCTATAATCTATATTATATTGTATATTTGTATGTGTACCTATAAATTATATTATTAAATAGGTATATCATATTATTATGGTCTTCAACATTATTCTACCTACCTACTAGCAACCCATTTAAATTATTATTTATATTTTACGACCCAAAGGTTTAAAAAAAAAGCTGGTTGTTAAATAATGTTTTACACAATAAATTATGTAAAAACTAATCAATTTTTAGCTAAGGTAGTAATAAAACCGCAATGCTAAATAACCTTAGATGTCGAAGCAAAAATGTATATTTTCAAGTAATAAAACTATTATGATAATTTTGTTAAATGTATAAGTACTACCTATATAATTGACTAAAATACATTTTGATTTTTATAAAAAAATATAGAGACCTAATTCTAATATTCACATACCCAAAAGTGGGTCACGGCTCATCAGTTGAATACTACTGATATAGATTATGTTTACTTACCCAACATTCCCTGGAGGACTTGGTCGTCCCAAGGCAGCAACCTCATAATGTCCCAAGACGGGAACGGTATGTGCAAGAAGAATCCCAGTTTACACCTGAGGTTTTCCGCTTCGCACACCTGACGGATTTTGGTCGCGGTCGTCAGTAACTGATAATCATGAATCCAAACCAAGGGGGCAGTGTGGTAATCTCCAGCGTCGTCTAGGGTTTTTATAGCATCCCGCAGCGCGTCCAGCGTGCAATCGGCAAACTTGTCGTTTACTTTGCAGTATGTCTAACGTGATACATAATATAAAAATGAAATAAAATTACCATCTGTCGACATACACGCTCAATTATGTTAATAAATCATTACTTTCCAGTCCCTAGAAACGAAATTGGCACGGTCGGGCATCGAGTGAAATAAGGGCCAAAACGTGCCATTACAACAACCATTGTAGAATTCTTCAATTTCCGTTTTATCTAAGTGTACCGGAATAATCTGTAACAATAAAATATTACATTTTATTATTCACTACTTATGAAAACTCATTAGACGTTACATAATACAGAACGCGAGTTATGATAAACGTGCGAACAACTGTATATAGTCCTACGGGGACGTGAAACGGAAAACGTCATGAATTAATTATTACTACAATACTACCTATATATATGTATATTATCCGCCATTAAGCTTTTTCGGTTAAAAAACGATCGTTCGGTATTAACGTTTGTATCCGTTTAAAAATGATAATAGTAATAATAGCTGAATTACCCAACGTCGTTGAGGAAAAAATTAGCAACTATAAAATACAGGGTTTAGTGTAATAACTCTTCATGACCAAAACGGTTTATGTATATCTATTATCTACCTCCACCGGGGAA